CAAGCTGTGCCAAGCTCCGTACCGCCGCGTAGCCGATTCCGCGGTTTCCACCCGTCACCAGCGCCACTCGCTTGGGAGACATTAAGACGCAGTGCCAGAATGCTTGTCGGGGATAAACTACACCTCACACACCCACACAGACGCCGTGCAGGTGTGTGTGTGTGCAGGAAAAGAAAGAAAAAAAAAAGGAGGAGGAGGGGTGAGGTGAGGTGAGGGAAAAGCGGTGGCAAAGACGTATCAGCTGCAACAGTGACGGAGAAGTACTACTGCGACGCCGCCTGTCTGCGCCACTGCGTATCATTTGCACGCAACGGCAGAAAAAACAACATGAGCGGAGCCACAGCTCCACGCCCCGGCAAAACCAAACACACACAATAAAAAAAAGAAAAAAAAACGGTGCGGGGAGAAGTTCACGCTGCACGGCTATTCCACGACGACGCACACACTGTGACGAAACCTCCGTTCCCTCCCACCCAACAAAAGCCCACCCTCATTTCACATGTTAAGTATCTGCCTGTATCTGTGCGGGTATCTGTATGCTTACGTATAAAAGTGCGCTGCCGGCCATCCCCTCTCTATGCCCAGTCCACCGCCTCTGTAAGTCACCGCCACACAACGTTGTGCACGGCAAGTATTATGCGCTGCAGCTCGTAAAGGCGACCCTCCTCCCGCCGCACGGACTCGCGGCGGCTCCAGTAAGCCCGAAGCAACTCCTCGTAGGTGTGCGCCTCCGCCTCCGCCTCCGCCTCCGCCACCATGACGCACCCGCAGCAAGCACAGTCACAAACCTGACAAGCTGAAGCAGACACAACGGAGAGGGAGAAAACAGCCACGGGAGGAACCGAAGGAAGAAAAAAAGAAAAGACGGCACCGGCAGAAGCAAACCGAAGCGGACAAAATACACAATAACACGATTCAAAATAGAAGATAATGAGACAACGCAATGAAGAAAAAAAATCGCACCGTCGGTCCGTTTCTGGCACGGCGCTGCATCTGACATCGCTGTGGAGCCGTGTCCGCACCTTCCTCTCTTCCTGGCTGTGGCGACGCTGCTTGAGCTGAGGCCCAGGCAACGCACAACGTGTCACCCCGCACACCTGCGCGTGCGTGTTCGCCCTCCCCGCCACCGCCACTGAAGGAGAGCACCGCAAAAAACTTCACGGCGCCTGTTTGATTTTTCTCCACGTCATCGGAAACTGGCGGTGCATGATGGTGCCTTTCCTTGCGTGCTTACGGCAGGGGCAGCAGAGAGATGCAGTCCAAGCATAAATCCTCCTTAGATTGCAAAGAGAGAGAGAGAGAGAAACAGTAATGGAATTTGAGAGAGTGCAGACGGCGTAAGTGTAGAAAAGGCGGGGATGAGAACTCTTCGTCACATCGCTGCATGCCCCGTCGTGGTAAGACTCGCGGAACAAGCACATCTCGGTGAAAGAGCAGTAAACCAAGGCGCACATAAGTCATATTTTAATCCCTTGTATACTGCACTGTGCATCTGAGTTATATAGCTAGATACAGACATGGGTGTATGTGTTTGACGGGGCTTTCCGCCTCAAAGATCGTCGCGCCTGTCTAGCAGCTCATACATTGGGTTAGTGTTCTCAATGCCGACATTCGTCATCCACCCCTGCAGGTCCACAACCTTCGCCTCCTCAGCAAGCGTCATCAGTTTGCTCACCGAGCTGCATTTGACTTGGTGGTCTGCCGAGGCCAGGCAGTAGTTTACCAGCCGCTCCAACAGCAGTCGCCCGGAATCGTAGTAGACTCCCTTGTGGGAGGTCTTGAGGAGGGCATCTGGCTTCTTGCGCAGCTTGTTTGCAGTCCGTTTACCGTGCTGCATGAAGAAGCTCTCCGTGACGTAGACGATGGCGTTGCAGACGTCGGACTGTGGCGTCGATGTCACGTCAAGCCCGCGCTTTTTAACGGCCTCCTCGCAGACCTCCTTGGCGATGTCCCGCCACACCACCCAGAACGGCGCGTCAGGTACTTCACGTTTTCCCTGCTCGCTGAGGGGTTTCTTGTCACGGTTTTGATACGCATAGCGCGAGAAGTCGGCCTTCTCCTGACAGCCCACGCAGGTGAGTCCTCGCTCCTCCAAGAAGCTGCGGAGATCCCGGATCTTCATGCGCTTGAAGTCCGCCTCCGTCAGCTTAGCTGCGGTGACAGGGCCAACGAAAGCCATCTGCAGCAGCAGAAGCACGAATAGCAGCGGCAGAACCGCGACACGGTCACGCAGGTGTGGCATTTTGACTATGTGTTTGGCGTAGACTGCGACCCCCGCGGCAGGTGGGAGGGCGAACCCCAAAGCAGAACAAGCAAAACAAAGCAGAAAAGCCAAGAAGAAACACAATGAATAAACACACATTCTCTCCCCCACGCGTGAGCGCGTGGGTGGGCCTCTCCGCAGGCGCCGCGCACTTAGGCCCCTCCCGCCAACAGCGCTGTAATTTGTCTCTTCTCGTCCATTTATTCCTGACTTCTTCTTCTTTTTTTTCTTGTTTTTTTTTGGTTTTTTCAGGTTTTGTTTCGTGCCAGTTTTCAATTATTTGTTACTCTTCCGCGTTACACGAGGAGCGCCGTTGGCGCCCTGCACTGCGTCCTCCCCTAACATGACCCGGAGTCGTCGTCACTGTCGTCACTGTCGGCCGCACGGAGTCGCTTGCTGCCGCCTCCGTCGTGGCTCCCCGCCGGAGCCGCACGACGGCGGTGGTGGCGACGGTGCAGCTCGTCAAACACCTGCCTGCTCACCCCCTCAAACTCCTCCCGAGCAAAGTATGTTGGGCTCGCCTCCAGTAGCCACTCGTCGGACACCGCCGTAACGGTGCGGACGTACGTGTTGCTGGTGAGCACAAGCTCGTTGAACACGATGAACTTTGGGCGACGGTTGAGAAACGTGGTGGGGAAGAGAAGGCATTTGACGTCGTCCTTCATCGTTATGAACTGGTTCTTCGTAGGCAGAGAAAGAGCGACCTTGGTGAAGTACCCACGCAGAATGGCACGGCGAATCTCATTCGCAAACTCGTCATTGATCTTCTCCGCGTCGCCGTGGGCGCGCAGCTGGGTGGCGGAGTAGGTGCTGCAGATGCCGCAGCCCAAGCGACGCATAACGCCAAGCAGCTGCCGGTAGACACTGACGGCCTGCTTCATCACGCGGGGGTTGAGGTAGTTCTCCGACGCCCACGCCACGCTCTGCCTGTTGGCGTCGTAAAACGCATTAAAGAGGTTCAACAGGGCGAGGTGGTCGCCGGTTGGGTGGTAAAACTGCTCGCGGCACCGCAGCGCGCGTCCGCGTTGGTCGTTGGCGGGGGTAATAAACGGACTCTGGACAGACAGCATCGCGCTGATGCGTGCCATGTCGTCTGAGCAGCCGTACTCGGGGCTGTGCAGCAGCATCGCGGCCATCTCTGGCTCCAGCGGAAACTCCGCCATGCGCCGGCCAAAGTCGGTCATGTCGCCGTCGTCATTAATGGCGCCTAAATAGTTCAGCAGCTCCAACGCCCGCATCAGCGTTTCGGGGGCTGGCGGCTCCACAAAGTCAAAGTTCACCAAGTCCTCCACACCCATCATCTTCATGTGCAAGACTACAGAGCCCAAATTGCAGCGCAGGATTTCAGGGTACGTCTGCGGCTGCAGGAGCGTCTCAAATGCCCTGGTCGTGTAGAGGCGAAAACACTTGCCGGGTTTGGTACGACCGGCGCGACCGCAGCGCTGCCGGGCGCTCGCCTGGCTGATGGGTGTCACCAACAGGGACTCAACACGCAGCTTTGGGTTGTACACCTTCTGCTTAGAAAAGCCGCTATCGACGACAAACACGACCCCGTCGATGGTGAGCGAGGTTTCCGCCACGTTCGTCGCCACGACGATTTTCCGTGTGTCAGGGGGGGCCTTCTGGAAGACCTTGCGCTGCTGCTGGGGCGGAAGGGCGGAGTAGAGCGGGAGAACCATGACGGGACCTTTGTGGCAGTCCGCGCTGCTGTGCTCCGCCATGCAAATCCCCTTCTGCAGCCGCTCCACCGTCTGCTCAATCTCGTCCTCGCCGGTGAGGAAGATGAGGATGTCGCCCTCGCCCTCGTACAGGTGAATCTGCGTCGCCGTGCGTATCGCCGCCTCCACGTAGTTTGACTCCGGCGCCCGCGAAAAGTACACCTCCACCCCAAACATCCGGCCGGCGATGTGCACCAGCGGAGCCTCCGGGAAGTACACCTGAAAACGCCGTTCCTCCAACGTGGCGGACATCACCACAACACGCAGGTCAGGTCGGCGCGGCAGCAGCTCCTTCACGACGCCAATCAACACGTCAGTATGGACCGTGCGTTCGTGGGCCTCGTCGAGGACGACGACGCTGTAGCGCCGCAGCAGGGGGTCGCTCATGGCCTCCCGCAGCAGCATGCCATCTGTCAGGTACTTTAGCCGTGTCCTCTCGCTGCTCACGTCGTCGAAGCGGATGGAGTAGCCGACCTCTTCCCCAAGCGCGACGTCAAGCTCCTCCGCCACGCGCTCGCTGACGCTGGTGGCCGCCACACGACGCGGCTGCGTACACGCAATCGCATGTTCAGGGTTCATCTCCAGGAGAAACTGCGGCACCTGCGTCGTCTTGCCGCTCCCAGTTTCTCCCACCAACAGGAGTGTCTGGTAGCGCGCCACCAGCCGCTGAACTTTCTCCTTAGCCGCAAACACCGGCAACTTCTCCCGCCCCCGCAGCAGTGTGTAGTAGCGGGAGCTCAACGCCCGTCCCGTGTACGGGTTCCTGCCGCCCTCCATGAGCTCCTCCTCCTCTTCCCTCAGAGAAGCAAAACAAGACCACAGAAACAAAAATAAAATCCCCACGACCACAAGGCTGTATCGCCCACAAGAAGCAAAAACGTTGCACCAAGATCCAGCAGGCACACATAGGCAGAAGCATAAACGTTTATATAAATATATAAATATATTAATAGCATGTAGGTATCAATTAAAAAGAAAAAAATGCACAGAAACAGTTACTCTTAAAGGCATATACGTATATATATATATATATATATATATACGTATATGCGAGTATGTGTGTATGTGTGTGTGCTTCCGGATGGATTCACTCGACACCCACGACACCTACAACCACATGAAGAGTTATTGATAATAACAATAATCATCATCACGAAATATGCATATATGGGACAGTAACTTCGCCTCTGTTCACGGGAAAGGTAGAAAAAAAGAACCAGAGTCATGACACACACATTCACACTCAAACAAACAATCAAAGAAAAGAAAAACAACAAAAAGAAAAAGAGAAAAAAAAGCGTAAAGATATAATATTACGTTGCTCCCGCGGATCAAAACACCATCACCACCAATACAGTCACTTCTTCTAGCAGCAACACCTTACACACAGAGGACCTCTCAAATTAGTGTGTGACGAATAAGCCATTGACGAAGCGCGACGTACTCCCGCATCCGGCACTCACCGTAGCGCACGTAGTCCAGCCCACTACCACCGAGTGCAAACGCCTCCGCGTCTGTGGCGCAGTCAGCGCACTCATCCGGCGTGCACCCCATCACCAACGCCCACAGCGTCCAGTAGAGGTGGGAGGCCAGCATGCCGAGCAGCAGCTCAACCAGCTGCGACTCGCTTACCGCCACCTCCCTCACCGTTGCTCCACTCTGCGTCGCAAAGTAACTACGCACCGCCTGCAATGCGGCGGCGCCAACGTCCCGCACCTCTTCCCCATCTTTATTGCCCCTCCGCCACGCGTCAACGATAAGCTCCGGCAGTCGAGGGTACTCCTCGCCAAGGCTACACCAGGCCTCCGCCTTCGCGGCGGGAGGGAACTCGCAAAGAAACTTGATGAACCCACGACCACCCACCTCTGTGCCCCGCGTGTAGTCGTAGTCCAGCTCGCACAATGTGTTGCCAAGGTCGAAGCAGCGGTAGTTCGCGTCCGTGTACTCAAAGTCAATGAACAAGTGTCCGCGACGCTCCACAAGGTTTCTGAAGCCGCCCTCCGCCGTCAGCTTCTCATCGCCGTTGCTGCTCCGGGCGTCACCGTCGCGGAACGCCTCCGGCACCTTCCACCTGGCCAACAGAATGTTGCCAGGATTCAGGTCGTTGTGCGAGAACACGACGGGGATGTCGCGCCGCTGCAACTCGCCGCGTACAAACATTATCTCACCCGCTAGCCAAACCACCAGCGCCTGGCGGTGCGTTTCTAAGATGTGCGATGACATCAGCCGAAGCAAACGAAAACTAACACGCTCAAACGACGTCGGGCACACGCTTTCCATAGCCTTATCCCGCCCCAGGCTGCCGTAGTAGCCTGTATTTCCATTTACCAACGGGACCGACTCATCTATGCTCGTCAACTGCGACACAAACCTTCCGCAAGGCTTGACATCATTGAGGTTCTCCGGCAAAAACGGGGTCGCATCCAGCTGATGCATGTGGCACAGCCCTTCATATATGTCGGCTAGCAGCGGCGGCGACGCCAGCAGCATCTCCGTCGTGCACGTGCGCACGCCGTCCATAAACTCTTCTACACGCCCCCAGTGAAAGCTATGCAGCACGGCAGGACTCATGCCGGCTTTGCTCATCAACTGCATCGCCTTGATGTCGCGCGCACGGTCAATCACCTCACCTCCCCTGTCACCGTACACGCGCAGCAAGACAGCCTTGCAAGGGTACGAGGCGTGGGCAAGGCGGTACACGTGGTTGCTGTTCCCACCAGAGAGCCGCGTCACATCCAGTGCGTCCACCAGCCACTTCGACGCCTCCGCTGGGCCGGGTGAGGGGTCATGCGCCTCTTCAAGGCACTTACAGCCCACATGCGGGTTGGACGACTTCCCCATCGCCCCGTAGTAACTCAAAGGGTCAAAGAGGTGGCGCAGCGGGCACCAGTCCTCGTGGCTTCGCATGTTGTGAAACCGCTTCGTATCACCGCCAACCGAAGCGTAGCACGCATCCACGGGGCGCCGGTGCATCTTCGCGGACATTGTCTCCGCCACGCGGTACAAAGAGTGACACAGGCGGTAGATCAGACTATCCAGCTCCAGCTCCTCCTCCGTCCGGTTTGCCAAAGAGATAATGCTGTCGATCGACTCCGCCGTCACCCACGACGGCGTGAGTGACGTCTGCACAACTCCCGACCCAGATAATATCGGAGACGACCCCGGAGGTTGCTGTAAAGAACGCCGCAAAACCGTACAGAGCGGCACATCCCCCAAGGGGCACGCACATTCGGTTTCAGTGGGTGTCATTCCTCCCAGAAAGGCGGGCCAAATACAAATATATATATATATATTATATACTCCCGACCCGTGAAGGGAAAGTAAATAAGAAATGAGAAGAAAAGCAGTCCTTTTTTTTTTTTTTTAAACTCTTACTGCTATTGTATTATTATTATTTTCTTTTCTCCCTCTCTGTGACGTTGTGGGTGGACGTCGGTTTTTAATGGCACACACAAACAAAAAAGAGCAGGGAGGCAGGAGAAAAGCCGTTGGGATGGCCACATGTATTACAGCAGGAAGAAAAAAAAAAAAAAAAAAACAGCGCCAGAAAGTAGCGACATACAGAAGGCCAGATGGGAGTAAAACGAAAAAAAAAAACACCCACACACAGCTCGTATGGGCAAAGCGCACGTGTGCCTGTGTGTTTGTGTGTTTGTGTGCCGGCTTGCACACGTCACGTTACATTGTTTTGTTTCCGTTCCAATTTGTGCTCTCCGTTTAATGCCTGGTAACGATGCACCTACGGGGCCCGTTTGCCCCTAAAGCAGCGGAAACGCCAACAGCACGGTACTTCCGCACGTGGTGCATATAAACATCTTACAACACCACCGAATTAATAAGAAATAAATGCAAGAAAAAAAAAAAAGGAAAACCAACGACGTAATTACTGACGCTTCAGGCCCCACATCTCAAATTCATCTGCGCTCGAGGCGATGTACTCTCACCATCCGCCCAGCCGCCTTCATCCGCTTTAAGACGTTGTTTTGGTACCGGGCCATCACTCCGCTGGATTCACTCATGGCTCATTATTTATTTATTTTTCGTTTTTGTTGTTGTTATTGTTGTTTTATTACACCCTTAACATATTTCGGCTTTTAGTCGCTGCCGTAGAGACGCCGCAGCCACCGCACCACACGCATTTTGTATCGTGTGTTAAATTATTATTATGCTTTGTTTCTGTTTGCCGTTAATCTTCTTTTATTGTTGCTTGTTTCCTCTGGAAATTGTGGCGGGCGCCGCGGCGTCTCCCCTTTTCTTCACTGTGTCTACTTCTCCCCCATCCCCCCGTTCGCTTAACGCGCTCGAACAGTTGACACACGTGTGTGTGTGTGTGTGTGTCTGTGGGAAGGTGGGTGAGATGGGGGACGTTCATAAATTTGTGGTGTTTTTCTGCGCCTTAGTCTTCTCGTTTATCCCGCCCAATATTGTTACTTTTTCTTCATTTCTTAACGTGCGGTTAGTCCCACACACACCCCGGGTTTGGCCTCGGAAGCCGGTTATTTACCTCCCCAGTACCGCACACACACAGAGAAGGGAGGGGGGGAAAAAACAAAAAATACATGTGTGTGTGTGTGGTGTGTGTGGTGTGGTGTATTTAACTTACTTAATTTGCGTAATCATGCAGTGGGGCCCTCCGCACGGTCAAGCAAGTCAGAGCGGAGCTCGCGGTTAAGGATCGCGCCAAGCCCGAATGAGGGCAAGATGCGGACAATGCGCAGCAGCGTGGCGGACAGGTACGTTTCCCGCAGACTTGACTGCAAATCCCACGCGTCAAATTTGGGGTACGTCTGGCGGTAGCGGATGGCCGTGATGTGCAGCAGCGTCGTGACGAACTGCAGTGCCGCCGGCGTGAGAATCTGCGCCGTGTCCACGGTGGAGAGTGGGATCTGCATCTTGCCCTCAACGGGGTCTGGCAACTTCTGCTTTGCGTTCTCAGCGGGGTTCCAGCAGCTCCGCGAGAGCCACGTCGCCACCATCGGGGCGATGGTGAAGGCGCCGACGCACGTGAGAATGTCACGGGTGCAGAAAAGCCCCCGCGTTAGCCACGGCACGGGATTCTTTGCGGCGGCCACCAGCTCCGCGTTAGCCGGCGGCAGGGAGCGGAGGATGACGCCGTCCTTCCACACCGTCGTGATGGTGTTAACAACGCCACTCGTGATGCCAGTGGCGAGATTGCCGACCTCCGGGGCATAGCCCCTCGCCTCGCAGTAGCTTTTCATGGTGTTGGAGCCAATGTAGGTGCCAGCGTACACCACAAAGCACACGCGAAAGACAATGCTGCATTTGTTCTCCGCACACGGCAAGAAGAAGCGGTGAGGGCGCAGAAACAATGTCTTGGTGCCCCGCCAGAGCTCACGCATGCTACTGTCCGTCACACCCGCCACCCGCGCCATGATGCTGTAGTCGATGATGGAGATGGGGATGGCGGCAGCAGTGCCCACGACGAAGGCCGTCGCCAAATCCGCCATCACGACGCCTGGCGTGAAGTTGCGCACTTTGTGCAGCGTCTTTGCTGGAGCCTCCTGCACCGGTTCCGCGCAGACCGCCATTGCCGTTGACATCTTGTTGTTGTTTTGCTTTGTTTTTTTTTGTTTTTGCTTGTATTATTGTTATTTTCGTCGCTCTGCTACGCCGGTTCTTCGCGCGCGCAGACACACAGCGGGATGGGTGCCAGCGGAAGGAAGATCAACGCAAACAAAAGAAAGAAAGAGAGAAAAAAAAAATGAAGTTTCAAGAAACGACCGCCACATCCCCCGCCTCTTCCGTTCCCGTTTGCTTGTGGGAACCCACCTCACTTGTGCAGTCGGCAGGCCAGAAACCGATCGGAAGCAAACCGCAGCCAAATGTGCGCCCCTGCCCCCCACAAACACAAAAAAAAAGAAAAAAATGAGTCCAAAACTATAACGATAATCACATAACCTTCTAAACGTTACGAGTAGTCGCCACAGCATGTCAGGCGGCGGTGGCGGGCGGGTCGTCCCTTTCCTCCGCGTCAAGGGCGTCAACCAGGATGCGGGCCAAGTACCGCTGCAGCTCCGTCTCGCTCTCCCACCAGAGCGGAGGCGTGTCCTCGTCTGGATCCACAGCAAACGCATCGAAAGTGTCTAGTCGCCGCGCCAGCTGCTTATCACCCCCCTGTGAAGTGTGCAGGCGCGTCGGGCTCCTTGACGCGTGGTGCGAGGGCGACGTGGGAAGCATGTCCCACTTCTTCAGCGTCCGGACGACGTGTGCCCGTGCACTGGCAGGGATACTTCCAAAGTCCCTCTCGATGGCAAGCAAGCGCGCGCTGCGGCTGCCGTAGCTGTAGCGAGACGTGCTGCAGTTGTTCTTTTTAGTGCCGCTGCCGTGTGTACCGACCGTGTCGCCCAGCCAGTACGGTGAGCGAGCGCGACACTGTGAGTGGGCCCCTTGCCACACAGACTTGGCGCTGGCAGGTACTGCGTCAGGGCTCGGCTCCGGTGTTGCCAGTATGTTGCGTGGGCGATGTGCGCCCGGAGAGGGGCTGAGCAGCACGGCAAGGATGTTTCGCGTCACGATGTTGCCGTGTGCTACAACGTCCCTCTGCAGCCGGCGCCGGCGCACTGCCTCTGCCTTGGCGTTCGCTACTCTCACGTGCCACCGCCGCCGCTCCCGATCGCGCTGCGACTGTGCGAGCCGGGCGTAATACGCAGCGACAGACTTGCTGAAGAGCATCTTCTGATACCGCGTCCACTGGCGCCGCTGGCCGTACCGTACCCACCCGTCACGTCCGGTGGCAGCGTCCTGCCACCCCCGCCATACCCGGCGCAGCAACGCCGCCTCGGCAAAGGCGCGGAGGGCAGACATTGTGATGTTTCGCTCCATATATCGCAATCCCTGCCTCTGCGCCGCAAGAAGAATATCAAAATCATCTGCCGCCAACAGTTCCAGCGCCGTGCGCGACTTGGCCTCCTCCACTCTCACGGCCGCAAGCAGTTCCGACAAATCGGCCACAGAGTGTGGAGGCAACACCACCGTTTGCATCCTCATTGTGAGTTGGGGCGAGGAAAGCGCGTGCACAGACCCATTCAGCGCCCGGTACACCCCTGCCTCGACGTTGGGTAGCGCGCCCGTTCCCAAATTATGCGCTCTCCTTTCGTCCAGAAGGGCACCAAGAACCAGAAACGTCTCCTCACTTTTCACCACGATACCCAACTCAGCCGCAAGGGCCCGTAAAAGTACCTGTCTGCCTTCGTCAGGGACATGATTGGCAATCGCGTCCCCCTCCTCCTCCTCTACCGCAGTATTGTGGAAGATGTCATGCCCAGCCCTGGCCTCGGGGGCGTTTGATTCATGAGTGTCCGCGCATGGACTCATCCTCAAAGAAGCAACCGCAGCAGCAGCGGCCGGTTCGGGGCCATACTTCTTTACAAGTGCAGCAAAAAAGTCCTCCTCAAGGCCAGTGTACTTTCCCAGCTGCGCGTCCACCTGCCCCAGCTTGTTGGGCGCATACTTCTCGTAGAAGGCTGTCAGGCGATCGCGGTAGGACAACATCCCAGCAGCAGTCAAAGCAGTCACACCCACAGCCGCACGATATGTGTCTTTTGTTGTGTTTTTGATACGTCTTCCTTTCAGAAGCGCAGAAGATACGCAAGAACGAGAAGTACGCCCAGGAGTCGCAATCAAATAAGTAGGTGTGCGTGTGGATGAGTGCAAAAAGTGAAGGTGAAAAGAAATGGTGGGGGTTGCAAAACCCAACGCAGGACGTCCTCCGCGGCATCAAATAGTAGTCGCTAACATGTTGGGGGCGGGGTGGAAGAAAGAGGGGAAGAGGGTGAGAGGGTGAGAGAGAGAAAGAAAAAAAACTAGTGCCGCGGCCCACCGAAAGTTACCATTTTGGTGTCACTCTACGGCGCGCGGCCACGCATCAAGAGCATGACGACACCCACCATCATCATGAAATTTTTCCCCAGAAATACCGACACCTCTGTGCCGTGGACGACAAGTGACACCAACCGCACCACGGCGTACGGGAGATCAATAAAAAAAAAGGTCCAGAGGAAGTAGTGCAACAGCTCGTCGTCTCTGGCCCGCTCCGCGCAAGCGATCAGGTCAGTGCCGTCTCTGGCTCGCGCCTCGAAGCGGCGCAGGAACCGTGCGGTTTCCTCATCCTTCAAGAATAGCGCGGTGTAGTACATGTTGCTTGTGATGTGCCCCATGATGGCAAGGAATAACACGAGCCGGCTGACGTTGACCGGAAACTGCCGCATCTCCGTTCCAGTGAAGTAGAGCTGCAGCACGTCCATGAAGTGCAGCACGTGGGCAAAGACCGCCGCCATGTTTGTGGTGTACGCCCTCGTCAAGGACATCCCCACACGCAGCCGGGAAAGCAGCACCGGGAACTGCACCAAGAGTATCGTAAGCATCAGCGATCCCAGCAGGCCATCGGCCCCCATGTGCGTCGCCGACACTATCGCCCCGCCCAGCACGGACCACAACACCCCCAGTTTCCCTGCCTGGACAAAGACGTAAAGCGCCGGCCAATGTTGTACCAGCTGCACGGGTGACGCGGTCAGCGTCATCGTCGCAGCCAGCATCCCAGCGACAGCCACGTCCGGGATGAGGAACAACCAGCACAAGGGGCCGACGTACATCACAAGGTACGCCAACAAGACGGCTTGCTGCGCTAAGTACGTCAACCACAACAACAAATGCAGCGCGTAGACGCAGAGTTTGGCCCCAAGCACGTGTTCCAAGCATGGCATGCGAGGCGTCGTTTGGTAGACGGCGGTCACGGCGTAGAAGAGGCAGGACGCCCCGGTCACCACAAAGACCTCGTCCCAGCAGTTTGTCTGCATAATAAGGTAACTCGTGCCGCTCATCCCGAACACACACATGACAAATGCCAGTAAAGTGAAGAGAAACAACGCCGCCTGCAGGACCCTCGACCACCCGCTTCGGCAGGAAGGCGGCACCCCCGCGTCCGACGCGGCAGCGGTGGGCGTGGCGTTGCTGCAGGCGGTGGAAACCTCGTCGATTGCGGTCGCTAGATGCGACACCTCATCGTACGGAGGTGGTGAAGACATTGCGCGCGCCCCTCTCATTATTATTGTTTCGTTGTCACCCCCGCTTCCCGCCTGGCCCTGCCTCTTACCCCTCTTTGTGTGTGTGTGTGTGTGTGTGTGGTTTTAGTTTCACGCGAGGACGGTAGAAAAAAAAAAGGAGGGATCGAAGGAAGAAGGGGCAGGCAGGCAAACGCTGAGTGCGCACACACACAAGGGGGGCAAAGAGGCAGCGCCAGGCGGGAAGCGGGGGTGACAACGAAACGAAGCAAAAAAAAAGATAAAATAAAAACAACGCCGGAAGTTGAATTCAGCAACAACCCTCCGGCCGCAAGTTCCACTAAAAACACATTCGGGCACCCTTTTGGATGTTTGTTTTCGATCGAAGCAGCCGGCGCAGCTCGCCCAGGTGGCGGGTCACCGCTGCCTCCTGCGCGGCGTGCTTGCACATCTCAGCGAGATGCTGATCCATCACAAACTGGATATTCTCCATCTGCTCCTCCGCCCTCGCGTCCGCCTCGAGCTTACGCTGCACCAGGGCGCGGAGATCGCTGATGCAGCGTCCCATCTCCTCCGTGTCGCGCGCGTGCTTCTCCTCACGCTCGCGCAACGCGCGATGGAGCTGCGACGCGTCGTGCTGCGCTGCCTGCCACGCCTCACGCAGCGCGACACGCTCGGCGGAGAGCTCCTCAAGCTTGCTTTTGTGCCGCGCCATGAGTTTCGCAAGCGGCATCCGCTGCTCCTCGCCCCCATCCTGCCGCTCCTGGGAAAGCGGTGACACAGCGGAGTCGTCTCCCATCATCAACAACTCCTCCTGCAGCAGCGCCCGGCACCGTGAGCGGTCCTTGCTGAGCCGCCGCGCACACTTCACGGCGCCGGTCAGCCGCTCCCCCAGCCGCACCTCTTCAGCCACCCTGTCGCCGCCAACGGCCGCCACAAGCTCGAGAACGACCGGCACCCAGTCCAGTTGAGTGCCGCACGACTCAGTCCCCACGCTGCCGCCTATTGGGGCCGCCGCGCTCCGCTCCACTTGCTCCTCGGAACGACTGCGGAGCTCCTCCAGCTGCTGTCGCAGTTTGCAGGCTTCGGCGTGCGCGGCGGCGAGCCTGTCCGCTGCGGCTTCAGCGTGGCGGCGCCAGTTTTCTGCCTCGGCGCGCAGAAGTTCCCGCTGCGCGTTGCCGTCCCGCAGAGAATCCGTGCAGCGCTGCAACGTGACGCCACGTTCAGCGTACGAGTCTTCCAAATCGCGGAGTCGTCGCTGCCACACTGCGCGCTCCTCCTCGCGTCTGCTCAATTCCTCTTTAAGACGCTTCTGCAGGGAGTGAAGCGTGCCATCTCGCTCCTTCGCCGTCCGCACGTTTTCGTTCAGCCACAAGACTCCATCATGGAACGCCTCAAGCAGGAGTGCGTGCTCGGCCGCCTCCCAACCAACCACCACACCCTTCGTCTGCTCACACATCTGCAGCACCCAATTGCGTAGCTGCGTCTGGGTGCGTACGCGCAGCCCAAGCTGCTGGAGAGCCTGCCCGCAAAGGCGCAGGTCACGGCCGCTCTCCGCCAATAATTGCGCCGCAGAAGCAGACGTGTCCCGGTCCACCGATACCTGCACGGTGTGCTCTTGAGTCTCTTCTTGCGCAGACGCCTCAATGGGGATTACCGCAAGTGCCGCTGCTGCTGGTGTTGCTGTATGAGAGGAAGGCTCCCTTGTTGGCTTGTCAATGGCCTTGTGGAGCCGTTCATACACAAACGCGGACGCCCGCCGCACCATCACAGCTGCATCCCGCAGGCCCAACTCCGACGCCTGCAGATCGTCCCGCGTGGCACGCACCGTCACAAGCTGCCGCTGCAGCAGCTCACACTCGGCGTGTAGCCTGTCGCACTCCTCCTGAAGCCCTGCGCTCCGCTGCCGTTGCTGCGCAAGTGCGTCGTCCCGCTGCCGGATATCCCGCATGCAGTTGTCGATCGTCCCGCGGAGTTCGTCGCACTCTGCCAAGAGTTTTGCGTGCGCCTCGCTGAGACGCTGCTCCTCCCATGCGTGCTTCTCCCGCACCTCCTCAAAGTCGCGCAGCAGAAACGCCTTTTGCATCTGCAGGGCGTCTCCCTCCAGCCGCAGCGTTCCATTCTCGTTGCGGAGAGCCTCCCCGTCTTTAATGAGACGCTCCACGCGCGCGAGTAGCGTCGATGGGACCGCTAGCGGATTATCGTAGCCGCCATCCAGCGCGGTGACGGCGTCTTTTGTCAGCTGGATCACTTCACTGACCTCCTGCGCCTTTTGCAGGAGCCGCACCGGCAGCGTGTCGAGTGCCTGACACTCCAACTCCTCGCTGCCCATCAGGCAGACAGCGGTGGCGCAGGCGTTCGTCAACTGCCGGATCCCAAAGAGTTTAGTGCGCACTTCCAAAACGGCGTCGTGGATTAACTTCACATTTAACTCAAAGTTGCCCGTGTTGCTTGTGGAGGCGGCGACCGCGCTGCTCGCTCGCCTGGATGACGCGTCCGAGGTGGCCCCCTCCGACACGGGCTGCCCCACCAGCGTGTTCGCAGCCAACGAAGGGAACATGCGTCTGAGTGAAAGGGAGTCGTCCATCTTCCCGCTCATAACCGGCTGTGGCTTCGCCTTGCGCGTGAGTGTGCGCCCTGGCAAGGCGACGAGGGTAAAGTTCGGGTCGTTCATGTGCATGACAGAGTCCACAAGCAGCCGCGCCTCCCGCATGCCCTTCTCCCACTCCTCCACCTTCTCCTCAAGGCGACCAACGAGGTCGCGCAGCCGCAGCGGACCACTCCGCACGGCGGCAGCGTCGGGATCAATGATGGCATGCACCTCACTGATGGAGGAGCTTGTCTCACGCACAAGGTCCAGCAGCATGTTGGCGATGACGCGCGAATCGGCGCTGTCGGATAACGCTTCGCCTCCAAGCGTTTCAACACTTGTCGTCACGGCCGTGCGCAACTCCCGCACCTCCGCTGCCCGCGAGTCTATGTGGTTCTTTACCTGGTGCACAATCTCAAGGGACTCTCGCTGCCCAGACCACGTGGGAGTTTGATCCGAATCGTTCGCGTCCACAAACTCCTTTATAGGCATCAACAGCCTCGTCTTCTGGCATGCGAGAACAGCAGCGCCCGTGCCAGCGTATTCAGTGGCAGAGTCCGCACTAGCAGCACGCTGCAGCTGATCTCCCGGTGGCAAACAGTTCGCGGAAGAGTCTGCCACGGCCTCCGCCGTGGTGAGCACATGACACAGTTCCTCGCAAAGCTGCTTGTTCTTCTCACGTTCAGCGCTAACCCGCATCACACAGCGTCTTGCAAGCGCCACAAGGTCGTCGTAGCCGCAAACGGGCGAGCTGGAGTTGGGGTCGTCCGTGTCACTACCGCTGTTGCCGTCCCGGGCCGCCTTCTCCTCCGTATCGCTACACAAGATAGACCTGAGCTCCGCAAACGCCGCCGCAGCCTTCTCACACTCATCCTGCAGTTCCTTCACACGCTTTTCAAGCGGCAGCTCATCTGGGGGCCGCTGCGTGCCGGTACCGCCGCCTCCAGCGACATCACCGGTGATAGACGTCACGAGCGACTCCCGCATGTCTTTCACGCACAACTGCAGCTGATGTATCTTCCCGAGGACAGGGTCATCGTCCGCCTCCGCCCCCGCCGCGACATCGTCCGCACCAGCACGCACGGCCGCCTGCGCGTCCTCGCCCACCACCGACACTACCACGGCATCGTGGAAGCGGTGCAACTCCAAACTGCGCGCCACAGCACTCTCCACGCACCCCTGCACTACCGCCTCCACGGCACCAAGGACATCCGCCGTGGCCTCCGCGTACCGCGACAGCGGGGGCTGCGCCTCCACCACCGCGTCGCTCACCCACGTCAGTACGCCCCGCAACGCCTCCTCCCGCGCTCCACGCAACGCCTCCACTGACACGTCAGGGGACTCCACACCCAGCGCAACAAAAACGTCCTGCAACGACTCGCACACCCTCTCGTAACGACCACATGATTCCCGCTCACTCTGCGAAATCGTACGCCACGCAGCTGCAAACCGCCGCAGCTGCGCCAGGCCCGCGCTAAAACCGACAAGATCCACAATACCTGAGTTGGATAATGGTACGTCAACCACATTACACACACACGCATCACCACGAGAAACCACAAACAAATTCCTAACAGTATGGCAAATATCCTCTGCAACTTGATTCAACACAACCCAGAAGTCACACAAACAACGCCTCAATACCTCCGACTCCGCGCGATTCGCATCCAGCAGACTAGACAAATTAAACAATTCCTCCACAGATTTCGACCCAGCAGCACAAGCAAAACCAACCTCAATCTCACGACGAGACGCCACTTCACGATATTTCAAATACCAACGTTCCTTCTCCTCTGCCTGCTCCTGCACGACTCTAGACACACGCTGGAGGCGGTCAGCGACGTGCGCGCCGTCAACTTCACCGTCACCCTCGGGCGCCGAGAGTCCAACCGCCCCGCCCAGTGCGTCGCACGCGCGCGCAGCATCGTACAAAAGGGCGTTCGCGCCGTCCAGCTGCTTGCCCAAGTCACGCACACGCTCCGCCAGGGCGTCCCTCTCGGCGCCAAGCTCCGCCAGCCGGCCCTCCATCTCGCGGCGCCGCTGCTCGTTCTGCTCTGCCTGCTCCTGCACGACTCCAGACACACGCTGGAGCGGTCAGCGACGTGCGCGCCGTCAACTTCACCGTCACCCTCGGGCGCCG